CTAAATGGTATATTCGTTTTTTTCATTGGTCTGAGGATGAAAAGTCGTGCTAAGTTTCACTTGAGTACGAAGACCTTTCTAAAACGACTTGCAAAATTGAGATGTAAATTGAGTACCTCCATCGGAGATAATGAGAATGGCACTCCATGCAACCTTACCATTTTCCGAATGTAAATCTTAGTGTACTCCTCTAGCGAAAATGAAGTCTTAACGAGAAGAAAGTGAGCATATTTCATCATTCTGTTCACAACCCAAATCGAATCAAATTATCGACGAGTGGGGGGGTAAATCCGCAATGAAGTCCATATTCAAATCTTCTCACTTCCACGTAGAAATACAAAAATTTTGAGCGAAACCCCCCGTTTTTGTATGCTCAACTTTCACTTGTTGATAATTTGGACAATTAGCCGCAAATTCCATAATATCCTTCTTCATCCCATTCCACCAATAGACTTCCCGTAAATCACGGTACATTTTGGTGGCTCCCGGGTGAATAGAATACCAAGAACAATGAGCTTCTGCCATAATCTGATTTCTCAACTCACGTACATTTGAAACACATAACCAACCTTGATACAAAACAAAGTTCAAAATTCTTAAAGTTGAAAGACATTTTAGGATATTAACTCTTTATCTTCATTATAGAAATAAGAATATAACCAATGATTTTTCTTTTCTATGGATAATATAGGTCCTTTCTATTATTTTTTTCCTAGTATGCATATTTACCCTTTTCCTGTGGCTTCAAATTTTTCTCTCTAAGTAATTATATTTCTAGTTAATTGAGTTGGTGGGTTTATAGTGAATTAAATATATCAAGTGCTCTTTAATAAGTTGTCTTTCTAATTCGAATAACTGGGAGGAATATGTTTTGTGCCCCCCTCGAGAACGAGGTGTCTTTCTTAACCTTTGAATTTTTATCATGATTAGGAGTTTAATTGTGTCCTTGTCATCGTCTAGAACTTGACTAGATTCGAGATCATCCTCCCTCTATTTCAGCTTTCTCTTTATTCCTTTTTCTGCTTATAAAGTTGTGGGAATCTGGTAACTCGTCCTAGTTTGTTTGTTGCTTTGTTGTCAACACGAGTGATTTAAATTAACTATGCTATTATCAAAGTCTCACAGTGATAAGTCTCTCTTTCCTTGTAATAAGCATACATCATATCGGCTTCCGCTTCCCAAGTAACATCTCAACTAATTGATTCCGCTAAAGAACCTTCACAGATACAATTTCTTTGTTTCTCAACTTCCGAATTTATCTATCTAAAATCTTAACCGGAATCTCTTCATAGGAAATATTCTCCTTAACTTCTAAACCTTCTAAGAGCATAATGAAAGTTGAATCTCCAACACACTTTTTCAATAACGAGATATGGAATACCAGATGTACCGATGCTACATCATTTAGCAATTCAAGCTCATAAGCAACCTTGCCAATAAGCCTCAAAATCTGATATGAGACCACATAATGGGGACCAAACTTTCCTTTCTTTCCAAATCTCATAGCACCATTCATGGGTGAAATTTTCAAGTAGACTCAATCATCAACGTTAAACTCAAGTTCTCCTCTTCTAACATCGACATAGGACTTTTGTTGACTTTGAGCCATTTTCAACCTTTTGCAAATAAGTCAAACCATTTCCATAGCCTCATGCACCAACTCAGACCCTATCAAAGTGACCTCACCAACTTCAAACTACCCAATAGGAGACCTACACCTCCTACCATAAAGAGCCTCAAACGGTACCATCCCAATTCTAGAATGATAACTATTATTATAAGCAAATTCAATTAACGACAAATAGTCAGCCCAATTACCCTTGAAATCAATCTCACAAGCTGTCAACATATCCTTAAAAGTATGAATGGTACCTTCAGCTTGTCCATTGGTCTGAGGATAAAAAGTCGTGCTAAGTTTCACTTGAGTACAAATAACTTTCTGAAACAACTTCCAAAATTGAGATGTAAACTGAGTACATCAATCGGAGATAATGAGAACGACAATCTATGTAACCTTACCATTTCCTAAATATAAATCTTGGTGTACTCCACCGAAAATGAAGTCTTAACGAGAAGAATGTGAGTCTATTTCATCATTTTGTTCACAAAAACTCAAATCGAATCAAACTATCGACGAGTACAAGATAAGCCCTTAATGAAGTCCATATTCAAATTTTCACACTTCCACGTAGAAATACTAGTGTTTTGAGCCAAGCCACCCAGTTTATGATGCTCAACTTTCACTTGTTGATAATTTGGACACTTAGCCACAAATTCCATAATATAATTCTTCATCCCATTCCACCAATAAACTTTCCGTAAATCACAATACATTTTGGTGGCTCCTGGGTGAATAGAATACCAAGAACTGTGATCTTCTGTCAGAATTTGATTTTTCAACTCATTGATATTTGAAACACATAACCAACCTTGATATCGAAGGACACCATCTCCCCTCTTGGGAGAAAGCCTCAATGGACTTCTTCAACTTAACTAATATCAGATCAAGATTTGGCTTAGCCTTCACATCCGATACAAAATATGATTACAAACCATTATGATACAACTACTCACCTTCATTAGAATCAACCAAACAAATGCCTAATTGGGCAAACCTATGAACATTACAGACTAACTCTTTCTTGTCATCTTCCACATGAGAAACACTTCACATTGATAGTCGACTAAGAGCATCCGCCACCACATTTTCCTTTTCGAGATGATATATATAGAACACTCATGTCGTAGTTCTTCAACAACTCAAGCCACCTCCTTTGGCGAAGATTCAAATCCTTTTGAGTGAATACATATTTCAAACTTTTGTGGTCAGTAAAAACATCCACATGAACACCATACAAGTACTGTCTCCAAATAGTTAAAGAAAATACTACCGCCACTAACTCCAAGTCGTGAGTCGGATAATTCTTTTCACGCACCTTCAATTTTCTTGAGGCATAAGCGATAACTTTCCCAAGTTGCATCAAAGCTTTTTAGTTTTTCCAAAATTTTGACTTTGGTCAACTATTTTGGTAAAACATGCTTGGAATGGGATTCTGTTAGCGTGGTTAACTCTGAAATATCGAGTGTGGTCTAGAACAACCTTTGGTTTGATTCTCAAAGGTATTGGGATGAGATTTTGGCTTTTCGTGTTTTATTGGTGTTTCTTTATAAAGTGTTGAGTTTGGTCATTAATTTTATGAGACGACCTCTGTTGGTTTTTTCATGATTGTATTGAGTCTGAAATGTCTTTTCAAAGTGGTTTGCACTTTTATTTTGAGTTGTTTGGATCCCAAATGAATTTTGAGGGCCCGTTTCAAGTTTGGAACACTTAAGTGAAGGGGCACCAGTGGGCGGGGTCGCTTAAGTACTTGGCCAACTTCTTTAAAAGAGGTTGATTTTGCGACCATAGGGCGACTTGAGAGAAAGGCGCTTCTTAGGCGGGGTTCGCATTTTTCAACCCTTTGACGGCTTAAGCGATGATCATTAAGAGACCAAATGGCCTCTTTTATGAAAATTGTTGGGGATTAAAATCCCTTTTCTTGTTCATTTCTTCAAGGAAGAAATCCTGATTGAGTGGAGCTCATCCAAGGGCGATTTTACTCATATCTTGATCAAATTCAATGATTCAAATGTAAATTTCTTCCCTCCCTCTTCCTAAAATTGATTTTAGCTTCGTTTTTGCAATTTATTTCCGATTTTTGCCTCTTACTCCTTGATTTCTATATCTTTAAAAAAGGTAATTAGACCATTTGTGGTCCGATTTGAACTCCATTTTTACCCATCTTTTGGGCATGTGATCCTCATTCCGAGGAGAATGTAATGATGATTTTTAGTTTCCTAATTCTATAACGTCATTTGAGGGTCAATTTTGATACAATTTTCGGTACATTTTTTGTATTATTGATATGTGTATCGTTAGTTCCGTATTGATTTGCTTGTTTTGTTCTTGATAGCTTGACATCATTTTGAGGCTCTTCGAAAGGGAAATACGCCTGAGTAGACGTTGTTCTTGTGTGATTTTTGGCCTTGAGGTAGGTTACGACTTCCTTTTCTTAGACTTGGCTTAATTAGATTAATTGTATTTTGAGTAGTAATGTATGATTAGGTTGGATTTTGGGATTACTTAGGCTTATTTGATCCTTAGTCAATTATAGCCATCTATTGGGTTGTTTAGTGTAGTTTAACCGGAAAACCTTAACTTAGGTTGATCCTTGTGTTTTGTATCAAATAGTATCCTTAGAAATGGCTTAAGATGTCATGAAACTTAGGTTACCGTGTGTTTGCTTGGATTGAATTATTGGTTGGTTATGGTGCTTTTGGGCTTTTATACTCGTTATATTGATTGTTGGGCCCGAGGCTGTTAGCTGGAATCTAGGTTAGTACGTTTGGACTGTGACGGAAATTACCTGATCGAGTATGTGCTTGGTGTGTTGTGATTTGGTGTAAGCTTTGGAATTTTTGATGGCTTTGAATGTGGTTGTTGCGCTTGAGTACTCATTGTTCAAAAAGACTTTTTTGATAAGTTTAAGATATCATTTTGGGTGGCCCGTCGACATATATCCGAGTTATTGGTACTTTACTGTTAAGTTGGTGCTACTCATTTCTTTTATTCAGTCTCTATTTCCGTTTGTTCTTATTAATTATGTCTATTTAAACTGTTATCTTCCACATCTCATGTTTGGATTTAGGCTTGAGGCGACAAGCATGCATCATCATTATTCGATTTCGGATTTTGACATATAGTCAAAAAAGAAAGTACTTGTTGTTCGTGCTTCCTAGAGGATGAAAAAAATAAGCCAGCAAGTCTTTACAATTTTGGCAGTCTGTATGGCTGCATTTTCCTTTTCTACGACAATAAAAAAATTTAATCAACCTTTTATTTGCTTCTGATTTGACTGCCGCGCGCGCTAGTTTTTTTTTTTCCAGCTTCTAGTGAATAAATTCAACGTATAGACTCAAACCACAGTAGTGGATATATACAAAACATATGTACAAACAATGGAGCTAATATCATCAGTAGGAGCAACTAGTGATGGTATGGCGAAGTTGTTTGAATTCTATTTTTTCTCTTTTGTAGAAATCTTTGTAGCGATTTATTCATGAAACGACCAGTTTGAGTTTGTAATAATGGTGATGAAGGCTCGGACATCTTATTTGTTTTCTCCTCCATTTCTCTACTTGCACGATATATTATAGCTTTAGCCTGCATTTAGAAATCATTTATATATTAACAATACAAGTCATTTATTAATTGTTATCAGAAAATAAAAACTGGAAATACATATACCTGAAGCTGAGTAACATGAGAAACAACAAATTGTCCATTGTAAAATATTGTTAGCTGTTGTGATTGCTCATTCTCTAATTGTTGATCCTCCCTAATAGTAAATAGTAAATATAAAACAAATATATAATCAATACCTTATTATTAGAAGGACTAATCACTAATCAATACAGATTAATTGTGAGCAGAGGCGGATCTATAGTGTGTCCAGGGGGTCATCCGACCCCCCTTGGAAAAAATTTTACACTATATATATAAGATCAATTTTTTGGTGTACGTGTATATATTTAAAATTGAACCCCCTGAGCATATGTCAAAGGAGTAGCTCAATGGTTTATGGGGGTCAGGATTTTGCCTATGTGAGCGTTGGGTCACAGGTTCGATTCCAGTCAACAACATTTTTTTAATTTAAACCCCCTTGATAGAATTCCTGCCTCCGCCACTGATTGTGAGAGTAATTAAACATGAGAGAGACTTACATTAAGAAGTTGCTAGGAGAAAGAGTGAGTTCCAAATTGCACTTTCTTCTCATTTTCTTCAATTAAAAAATCTGGGATTGAAATTGAATGGAGTTTTTTTCAATCTATCTTTTGTATATAAGAATAATATAAGAGAATTAATGAAAGATGAAAGGGGAGTTTGTTTTGAATGAATATATACAACATTGTTTTCTTGGGAAGTGGGCCTGGCCTGCAGGTTGAAAGTAAAAGCCACATTTTTTATATTATATTTATTGAGTATATTAGTTGATAAAATAGAACACGAAACGCACACTTGTAAAGATGACAAAAATCGACATACGCCAACTTTCTCCAGCCTTTTTTTTTTGTCAAAAAAAACAGTGATGTATGGACCATGCACCCACGTGTTTCAGTCGGCCTTATTATTAGTGCCGTGAAAATGGGCTTTCATAGGATCGGTCCAACTCTATCTGTTATTGGGTAGAATTTGAATAAATTTTTTTAAGTCCATTTAAAATTAGGGCTTATAGGCCTAGCCCATATAAGACATTGACCCTTGAGGCTTGATCAGGGGTAAACCATTTATTTAAGAGTAATTTACAATAATTTCACTAGTATATAATCTAATTATTTGAATACACGTTATGTTGTAATATTATGAATCTTCGTACACAGATACATGTATCTTGAAATATATATAATCAAAATTAAGTTAATTTGTTCTAGATACACTTTATCCAAGTAGATTCACATGTATCTAAGATACATATACAAATCTCACACCCTCGCCTCCATCCCATCTTGCTTGTCATTCTCTTATCTCACTCGTGTATCTGGTATGCGAAATACATGCAAATTACACTAGATTTTTGCTAGTGTTATTGAAACAACACTATTATTTGTCATATTTGATTTGAAAATCTTCTCATTTTCTTGATGTTATAGAATTATAAGTTTGAAAAGAAAATAAAGGGAAGAGCTGGCCCGCCCCAGCCCTCAGCCCTTCTAGGGTCGGGTTGCGTTGAGCATTTTCAGGCCCTACCAAATGAAGAGCCAGCCTTTCAAATTCCTTGGCCCGCGAGGCTTAGGCCGGGTGGGGCTGGGCCGGCCCTTTTTGACATCTCTACTTATTATTTTATATTTTGTTAAGTTCATTCAAGGAAAAATTACATAAGTGAAGGCCTTTTATTTAATAATTACCATTTTTAAGTATACTTTTAATTTATTACCATTTTTGTCAACTTTTAGCAATAGTTACTTAAAACAATTTTAAAACAAATTTGTTCCTTTTCATGTAATTTTTAAACTAAAGCAAGAAAAGTGTTGCCCATTCGCTCATATCCTCTATCTCTTTTCTTTCTACTCTTCTATCCGAAAAGTTTAGGGTTTTGTTGTTCTTTCTTCCCCATCTTTCAGCACAGAATTCTAATGGAAGAAGAAGGAGGAGCACGAAAATCGCCTAGAAAAAGTCCGCGGATACTTAGTGATGTTGGTACTTCGAATCAGAAAGTTTATAGAAGGAGTCGAATGAGGGGTCAAGTTTCATCTCCTACTGATGAAGCTAATGACTGTCCCAATTTTAGTTTGGGAATCTCACAAGAACCGGGGGAGCAAAACAAGGGTGAGCAGAACAAGGAGCAGAACAAAGGTAAAAAATGAGTTAAAGAGGTGAACAATGTGAAGAAATCGAAAAAAAGATGCGTTGATTTAGCATCTACGTCGAAGAAAATCATGGACTGTGATGACGATTTTGATGATTTACCTCCTCAAGTTCAGTCAAAAAAATTGAAAAATAAAGATGGGCCGGAGAAGAAGAAGCCAGTGAAGGATGCAAAAAATCGAAATCGATTGCCTCAAAATGTCATTCTACCAGAGAGTAGATATCCGGTATGTGATAGTATTTTTCCTAGTTAGTTGTTGTTTTAGGAATGATTGTATACTGATTACTGCCTTGATTTTGAGATCTAGTATGTGGAATTCACCTTTAATTTAACTTTAGTATGTAGTTATACAATTTGTTTTAAACACTCAAATATGAATGTGAGATATCAAGTTAGGATGCATAGTGTTGCAGTGCTAGCTATTAGTAGCCTTATATCTCAGGTTTAAGGGATTGTCATCTGAAGAAATGGCAGGAAGTGAATAGAGCAGGTTTTGCATTTGTTTGATTAAAAGGGTCACCTAAATAAAGGGGAAGGATAAATAGGATTCTGAGTGCTGACCCTAACTAGTTTGGGATTGAGTGTCCTAGTGTCTTGAATACTCTTCCAATGAAGAGCAGTGTTATAGCAGGAAGCTAGCAGTCACTTTGAATTTGACATTCATGTTCTATCTGATCTTTTCTCCCGCACTCGAATGTTTTGTTCCAATGGATAAAGTGGAAATGTAGGTTTAAATTGCTTTGGAAGTTGGTTTTTCGATATAAAATAGAGCTTTAAGTGTATGACAACTAGATCATTGTTTAGGCTGCTTGTGTTGAAGTTGATAAGTTCTGGGTTTGGATTTTGGAACCAGAAGTGGTCATCGGTGTAATTCATCTTTAATTCAACTGATTACTACCTTGCTTTGATACATAGTATGTGAAATTCATCTTTAATTCAACTTTAGTATGTAGTAACACATTTTTAATTCATGTTTAATACATATGCAGGATCGTAAATTCTGGAAACATCTGGATGTTGTGTATATTTCGAGTAGGTGGTCATCTTACACTAATCATAGTGTCATCGACCAAATCAAACTATCTTTATCTGATAAACAACTTGAGTTGTTCAGGAATACATGTTTTGGTTACTTTCTTGACCTTCCAAAAGCGAGCACACAACTACAAGTTATTCATTGCCTTATAAATAGAGAGTTAAAACACACACCGGATGATGTGTTTGCCATTGAAATAAATAACAAAAAGTTGTTTTTTGGTCTTAGAGAATTTGGAATAGTTACCAGCTTAAATTGTGTTAGTGATGGCACTCCTATCATTGTTCCTGATTCTAAATGTAGTTTGTTGAGTAGTTATTTTCCGGAAAAAATCACTGTTGCAAAGAGTCAGCTACGTGCGTTGTTTCTAGCTAAAAAATTCCTAGATGATGACTCAGCTGTTTCATTGGCTATTCTCTTCTTCATTAATGATTTTTTATTTTCATATGAGGACAACGAATACCAAATTACTAATAGAGATTTTTACCTTGTGGAAAGTGGACAATTCAATTCATATCCGTGGGGTTTAGATGTCTACAAAAAGTTGTCTGATTCTGTGAGACATGAGCTTAAGTCAACCCATAAATACTATAGATTGGGTGGCTTGCCTCTTGCTCTTCAAATTTGGATTTTTGAGTGTTGTTCAAAAGTTGATAAAGATATAGCCATTCGGGTTGCTAACTCAATTCCAAGAATCTTGAATTGGAAGACAATTGCCGAAAGTCCATGGCAAAAATATATTGAGAAATGTCTCTTCATGCCTACAAAAAATAAGGTATTTGTACAAAGTTAATACATTTTATGACATTGTTTAATTCTACTCAAGTTACTATATCTATTTTTATTTTGTTTATTTGGTTTTTCAGTTTGAGAACATTGTGGCTAGTGAAGATGAAGTATCTAAATGCAGGCTTCCTGAACCTCGTGATTACAATGCTGAAATTTTGAAATTGGAGCCTAAAGGATCAAATCATGGTCTAGACATGTTGACCAATGAAGTTATTGAATTGAGAAAAGAACTTGTAAAGGTATATACAAACTTGACTTTAGGCTTTTTTTTTCCAGAACTTTTATATTTTTAATTTTTGTGTTATGGTTTAATATCTACTAGGTGAATGAAAATAACAAAGCACTTGAAGAGAAGATTGATTTAGGATTTAATGAAATCAAAGAATTTGTGGTGAATTCTAACAAACAATTATTGGAGGATATTTCTTTGTTGTTTGCTAAGAATGGTGGCAGCAGCTCTGTTATCAGAGAAGTCAGGGAACCATCTAAGAAGCAGGCTGGCGAGACGTTTTCGGGTGGATTAGATTTCAATGGAGGTTTCTTTATATTTTCAATACATTTCTGTTATAGTCATAATATACTTTTAATATGTTTTTCTTATAATATATGTTAATTACATATACAACATTCTCTCCCTATGTTAATGCATCTGTAAATGAATCAAGAGGTCACGATGCTCATGTTATGAGATCAAATCAAAATGAAGAATCTCAAGTGCTTAAAGCTTCAGTTAGATTTGCTGACGTTGAAAATTTTGAAAGAGTATCAAGTAAAATAGGTAATGAAGGGTTTTATACAAATATATTACATATTTCATATATGTTAATTCAACTATCTTATTTTAAATGTTTTTGTTATGTACAGAGGAAGATGTTGCAGGAATTGCTACTGAAAAAGTTTTGTCAGAGGTTGTTGCTGATATAAATGGTATTAATTTTCTTCACTTCAAATAAACTTCTTTCATTTTATTTTAATAACGTTATTAAAATATTTACTTTGCTTACAATCCAAGAGGTTGCTGATGTGAATACAGTTGGGGCGCAACCTTATGGTAATGTAGTCAACAAAGCCAACATAAATAAGTGTTGCATCTGTTGACTGTAAATTAATCAATATGTCTATTGTATGCAGATGCAACAGAGGATTGTCAAAAACCTTTGCATACTCTTGATGATTTTATTTTTCTTGATGAAGATCTTTCTCAGATCAATAAGACTGAAGAATCTTATCTAAAGAAAAGAGCCCCTGTTGATCAAAACAAAAAGAAAGTGACACCGAAGAAACGTGGCAGAAAGAAAAATCCAGGAAAGTTAATAACATCTCCCTACACACAACATTTTGAATCTGGAGGAACTTTATGTGTAACACGTCAGTTTTTTGAGACAAAACATCCTTTTTCATATGCAACTGGAGGAGATAATGAATCGGATTTGATCGATTCATTCATTAAGTGGCTTTATATGGGTACAAAGAAGAGGTAATTCATTTTGAAGTTTGTTGGTTAATTTGTTACTATTGAATAACTTACATAATTCATAATAGATACAAGTTTAATTCAATCTATAGAACTCTCTCGTTACCTCTAATTCACAATAGATACAAGTTTCTTAATTCACTCTTCTTTAGTTTCCTTAGTTACCTCTTTTTTATTTGTTG